AGAGGCATCAGGCCGGTGCAAGGGGCTGATCCTGTGATTGGAGGGTGATGGGGGTCAACGCCTGAGGGCTCCCAGTATGTGAGAGGGGGAAGGCTGGGCTGAGGGACACTCCACACACACACACACACACACACACACACACACACACACACACAGTACGAATTTTGTGCACCGGGCCCCTAGTATATAAAATAAAACCCCAGTTGCTACATAGATGCAGTTGATAGAGTGACATGCGCAGAAAAACTAACCTTTCTTCCATATCATCTAAAGGTCATCACCCCATTACACAACATGGAGTTGTTACTGGAATCCCTGACATTTCACGATGTGGCCGTGGACTTCACCTGGGAGGAGTGGCAGCTCCTGAGCCCCGAGCAGAAGGACCTGTACAGGGAAGTGATGATGGAGACCTACGGCCACCTGGTGTCACTGGGTGAGGACAGCTCCCGTGTGTCACTCAGCGGGTGCCCTGTCAGGGGCTTTTCCTTTCTCAGCTGCGTACCTGCTCAGAATAACTCCAGTTCTCAGAGATGGTGGAATCTCAGGTACTTCTCTTGCACCAGACAGGAGGGTATTATGTCCCTTCTCCTGAGAGAAAAGTCTTTGTGTTACAGATGGGAAACCTGTCCATTCCTTGAAATGTTACATTCTCTCTTCTTGACAGAGCCCAGCCCAAGATAATAGGTCTAAGTCTTTGTCCTTGTTCACAAGCAGGGTGTCAAGACAGCACACCAGACGCGCTCTCCAAGCTGGAACGAGGGGAAGAACCATGGACAGTACAGCGTGGACGCCACTGTCCAGTCTCTCCAGGTGAGGGGGTGAGAACCAGCAAGGTGGGAGGCAGGAAGTCACATTCCAGTCAGAGGCCACGTCAGAGCTGTGACAGTGAATGAGGAAACTCAAACTACCTCTCTACCCATGAGAACCCTTTTTCTTTGTAGAAGTTTAGGGGAAAATATACCCCTTTTTTATTTTCTGCTAAAAAAGCTTATTTTATCCTCCTCGTGTTATTGTTTTTATAGTTTTCTTCCGCCAGGGATTCTCAGATCTTCCTACTTTTTGTTTCAGTCACAGCGTCTGCTTGTGTTATCACCTCTCTTGCTATGCAATTCCACTTTCTTTGCCTCTCTGGAAAGATAGAACTTTGAATTCATTTTTTTTCTGTATTGACTAAGGTATTACATATGTGTTCTTATCCCCCCATTGCTCCCCCACCCCACTCCCATTCATGCCCTCACCCTCCTGGTGTCTGCCTCCATGGGTTATGCTTATATGCTTACATACAAGTCCTTTGGTTGATCTCTCCACCTACCCCCACCCTCTCCTGCCTTCCCTCTGAGGTTTGAACATCTGCTCAATGCTTCTCTGTCTCTGGATCTGTTTTTGTTCATCTATTTATGTTCATTATAGTTCACAAATGAGTGAGATCATGTGATATTTATCTTTCTCTGACTGACTTTTTCGCTTTGCATAATGCTCTCCAGGTCTATCCAAGCTGTTGCAAATGCTAGGAGTTCCTTCCTTTTTATAGCAGCTTAGTTTTCCATTGTGTAGCTATACCACAGTTTTTTAATCCATTCATCTGCTAATGGGCACTTAGACTTTTTCCAAATCTTACCTATTGTTAATTGTGCCGCTATGAACATAGGCATGCTTATGTCCTTTCTCATTGTTGTTTCTAGTTTCTTCGGACATATTCCTAGAAGTGGGATCATTGGGTCAAATGGAATTTCCATTTTTTATTTTTTGAGGAAACGCCATACCGTTCTCCACGGTGGCTGCACCAGTTTGCATTCCCACCAACAGTGCACGAGGGTTCCTTTTTCTCCAAATCCTCTCCAGCACTTGTCATTTGGTGATTTGTTGATGATAGCCATTCTGATAGGTGTGAGATGGTACCTCATTGTCGTCGTTGTTTTTTTTGCCATTGTCGTTTTGATTGGCATCTCTCAGATGATTCGTGCCTTTGAGCATGTTTTCATGTCTCTTGGCCTTCCTTATGTCCTCTTCCGACATCAATTTTTTCTTACTACTGGGCTGTTAGCAGTGGAATGGCTCTTTGATAAGTTGCCTTTAAGCACATGGATGAGGGATGTGAGTCAGCTCCCTGGAGTGTTTCAAATATGAGACTATGGGACATTCAAGGAGTTATATCTGGATTTGTGTGAGGAGCTTCTAGAAACTTGTCTGCATAGCCAGTAATGAGCAAGAGGGAAAATGACTGGAGATAATGACAGTGGTGTAGCAGCTGGAAGTTCTGAGATACTGGTCACGCATTGCCTTGGGAGACCATTTAAGACCTTGCTTTCATTCCAAATGAGTTGAGACACCCATGAGAACTTTTGAGTAGAGGAATAGCATTATTTAACTAATTTTTGAATTTTTAAAAAATATATTTCTTGTTGATTTTAGATATAGAGAGACAGGGAGGGGGAGAGAGAGAGAGAAAGAACATCGATGTGAGAGAGAAACATCATTTGGTTGCCTCCTATGTGCACTGGGGATCAAACCCACAACCTGTGTGTGTGCCCTGACCGGGAATTGAACCGGTGACCATTTGGTGCAAAGGATGATGCTCACCCAACTGAGCCACACTGGTCAGTTCACTAATTTTTTATTTATTTATTTATAAATATTTTTATTGATGTCAGAGAGGAAAAAGAGGGCGAGAGAGATAGAAACATCAATGATGAGAAAGAATCATTGATTGGCTGTCTCCTGCATACCTACCACTGGGTAATTGAGCCCACAACCTGGGCATGTGACCCTTGACTGGAATCGAACCTGGGACCCTTCAGTCTGCTGGGTCTAGCCACTGAGCTAAACCAGGTGGGGCTAATTTTTTAAATGGACAACCTTGCCTATAGTACAGAAGGTAGAAATTATCAGGGAGAGTAATTTACTGTTATATTCATGGTTACAATTTGTGACAGTACAAAAGTACATATTAATATTATCAAAAATATAAGGTACACAGGAAAGAATCCAGGTGTCTCATGGAAAGAGCTAAATCAGCTCTGGCCATTGGTTACAGCTTTGGACCTTGCACTGAAGGGTCACGGTGGATTCCCAAGGGACATATTCCTGGGTTGCAGATTTAATCCCCTGCCCTCTAGGGTGTGTGCAGGACCCACCAATCAATGTGTCTCTGTCACATTGATATTTCTCTCTCCTGTCACATTGATATTTCTCTCTCTCTCTTCTCTCTCTCTCTCTCTCTCTCTCTCTCTCTCTCTCCCCCTCTCTTTCTCCCTCCCTCTCTCCCCACCCCCCTTCCATCCACACTCTCTAAAAATCAATGGAAAAAATATCCTCCAGTGAGGATTGACAATACCAGAAATGTGCAAAATCACCTGGCCTCATCTGTGATATTTTTAAAAGTGTCTAAAGTTAAGAGACAAGAAGAAGTAGCAGAGGTGGTTTTCCATTAGCCTTAAAGCAAAGAGGAAAGAGCATGTGGACTCTGGGAGCTGAGGGCCTCAGTCCTACAACCATAGGAGCAGAATTCCAAAGCACTACCTGGGCTTTCACCTTTTATTCTACGTGTTTTGAAACACAGTCTCATTTAGGACTCTTTCTTTGAAGAACTTGTATATATTGATGGGATCCACACTACTATTTTCCGATAAGACCTTTTTAAAAAATACATATTTTTATTGATTTCAGAGAGGAAGAGAGAGGGAGAAAGAGTTAGAAACATCAGTGATGAGAGAGAATCATTGATTGGTTGCCACCTGCATGCCCTCAGTGGGTATGGAGCCTACAACCCGGGCATGTGCCCTAGCGAGGAATCAAATGGTGACCTCCTGGCTCATAGGCGTATGCTGAAACACTGAGCCATGCTGGTTGGGCTAGATAAGACCTTCTTTAACATTTTCATATTAACCTCAATGTCAAGAACTATAAATGAAGATAAGTATATTTCTTATTTTACATAACATAAGATTGTCACTACATAGTTACTTCACATGAAGGCTTTTTAAAAGCAGTTTTATTTCTAGGATTATGAGAGATTACAGAATGATTCACTTCTGTTCTGTCCTAGAACGCAGGAAGATCCATCATCCTCTGCCACATCACCTGCACAGTCGAAGCATTCAGAAGAATGTGGAACGATGCTGTGAATATAGTATGTCTGCAAACATTAATCAGAGTGGAAGTCATTACCTATTAAAGCAAAATCATGATGTGTGTGAGATAAGTGAAGAACTTACAGAATCAAATTTAAGTTTTGAAAACCAAAACAAAAGCTGTAACTTAAGGAATTCCATTGAGTTGAATGGAGATAGGACATGCATTGTGCATGCTAACCAAGAACAATTTTACACTGAAATCACATTGCCTGGCAGTACCAAACCCATTAACAAGAAGTCCCAGATCACTGTAGAAAAAGCACATGTATGCACTGAATGTGGGAAAGCCTTTGTGAAGATGTCTCAGCTCACTGATCACCACAGAGTTCACACAAGAGAGAAACCTTATGGGTGCAGTCTGTGTGGGAAAACTTTCAGCAGAAAATCCAGGCTCACCGAACATCAGAGAATTCATTCGGGACTCAAACAGTATGAATGCACTGAATGTGACAAAACCTTCCTCAAGAAATCACAGTTCAATAGACATAAGAAAACTCACATGGGAGAGAAACCTTATACGTGCAGTGAATGTGGGCAAGAGTTCATCAAAAAGTTTTGGCTCATTTGTCATCAGAGAACTCATACAGGGGAGAAACCCCATCGGTGCAGTCTATGTGAGAAGACCTTCTGTACAAAGTCTAATCTAAATAAACATCAAAAAATGCATACAGGAGAGAAACCTTACAAATGCAGTGAGTGTGGAAAAGCGTTTGTTGAGAGAAATCATCTTATTGCCCATCATCGAACTCATACAGGAGAGAAACCCCATGAATGCCATCTATGTGGGAAGACCTTCCGTATAAAATCTAATCTGAATAAACATACAAAGACCCATACAGGAGAAAAGCCTTATAAATGCAGTGTATGTGGAAAAGGCTTTATTGAGAAGAAGCGTCTTATTGTACATTCTCGAACTCATACAGGAGAGAAACCCCATGGGTGCAATCTATGTGGGAAGACCTTCGCTACAAAGTTTAGTCTCACAGTACATGAGAGAACTCATACAGGAGAGAAACCTTATACATGCAGTGAATGTGGGAAAGGCTTTGTCAAGAAGAGTCATCTGATAGGGCATCAACGAACTCACACAGGAGAGAAACCTTTTACATGCAGTGAATGTGGGAAAGGATTCACACTGAAGCAGTATCTTATAGGACATCAGCTAACTCATGCTGAACAGAAGCCCTATGTATGCAGTGTGTGTAGTAAAGGCTTCATTGCGAAGCGTGATCTCACCGTACATCAGCGAAGTCATAGTTCAGATAAACCATACATATGCAATGAATGTGGAAAAGGCTTTATTGTGAAACGTGCTCTCATTATACATCAGAGAATACACACAGGAGAGAAACCCTATGTGTGTAACGAATGCGGAAAAGCCTTCTCGGTGAAAATACAGCTGATTGTACATCAGAGAACTCATACAGGAGAGAAACCCTTTTTATGTAGTGAATGTGGAAAAGGCTTCTCAACAAAGCACTGCCTTATAGGACATCTGCGAACTCATACTGGAGAGAAGCCCTATGTATGTAGTGTGTGTGGAAAATGCTTCACCATGAAGCGTGATCTCACTATACATCAGCAGGGTCATACTTCAGAAAAACCATATATGTGTAGTGAATGTGGAAAGGGCTTCATCGTGAAGAGTCGTCTGATTGTACATCAGCGAATACACACAGGAGAGAAACCCTATGTATGCAGTGATTGTGGGAAAGGCTTCCCACAGAAAAGGCAACTAATTGTACATCAGTGGACTCATACAGGACAGAAACCTTATATATGTAGTGAATGTGGGAAAGATTTCACAGTAAAACGTAATCTAATCAAACATCACCTAAAACATACAAGAGACAAGCCTCAGGAATGTAGTGGAAGAGGCTTCACCATGAAAACTGATCTTACTTTACATTAGCAAAGTTATACTTAAGAGAAACTGTGTATGTTCAATGAATTGGGGTAAATCTTTACCCCAAAGACTCATGTCAATGTACATCAGCACACTCAGATGGGAGATAGCGTTTCTATGTGCAAGAAGTATGGCAAAGGCTTAATTGGGAAAAACATGCTCATTGCACAAATGTGAATTCATATGGAGAGGAACTGTATATATGTAATGAATGTGGAAAGAGGATACTGGGGGTATTCTTCAGCAAACTCATACTGTAGAGAGGCCATACACATGTAATAAAAGTGCTTAAGGCTTTAGGAAGAAGACATGCCTCATGCACCATCAGAGATTTCACTCAAGAAGGACTTCGTTTGCATGTACTGAATGTGGAAAATTTGCATTCAGCAAAAATGATCTTATTACCCATCAGAATCCACATGGGAGAGAAGCCCTATTGAATGAATTTAATGTGGGAAAGCCTTCACTACAAACTCAGGACTATGTTCATCAAAGAAAACATACAGGAAGGATGCCCTAAGGGTGCAGCAATTGTGGGAAAGCTGCTGACCACTTGTCAATTGTTAAACGTAAGATTTCACAGGTAGTTGCTTTTGGGTAAGCCTGTTGCCAGTTGTAGGCCCTCAAGATAATAGTATTCAAAAAATATTATGCAGTAAAGAATAACATAGTACAACAGGAAAGTTAGGGGGAAAATGAATAACTTACTGCAAAGAATCTGGTACTATCTTTCTTGGTCATTTTCCTGATTTTATATAACGAAATTACAAAACAATTTGGATACAGTCAGCCTTCATGAAAATATTTTTGGACATTATATGTCTAAAATGTTTATCTTGATATAAGTCCTATGAATGTGACAGAATAGGAAATTCTTTAGTGGGAAGTAGAACTTACGATATGTGATCATCAGAAATCATGATTGAATGTTTCTAAGTATGGAAAAGCATCTTCCCCAAAGTAAAACCTCAATAGATGTCATTTTACACTAGACAACTAATTTTCTCTGGTAGGGATATGGGATGGTTTGCAGTAACTCATGTTCCTTTATCATTTGCCAGAAATTCATGCAGAAATAACTCATGAACACATTCAATTGGTGGACTTTAGCAAAACTTCCAATAACTTAATGAAGAAAAGAATCCTTGAGTGAAAAAGCATTCTGTCACAAGTCTAAACCTCACAAGCAATTAGGGACAGGATACCTTCAGCTATAATTTCTAAATACATTATATATATATATAATCAGAGAGGAAGAGGGAGATAGAAGCATCAGTAATGAGAGAGAAGCATTGATCGGCTGCTCCCCACACAGCCCCATACTAGGAGTTGAGCCCACATTCCGGGCATGTGCCCTGAGCTCTTCAGCCATAATTTCAGTTGCCTTGCCATTGACTTTATAACTTTTAAACAGTTACAATTATTCTCATCATGAATAAAATTTTGTATACAACACAGGAGGGGTCTATGCCTGTTTCATTATGTTATGAAATTTTGCACTTCTTTAGTTCTATTGGTTATTTCAAAATACATGAAGCACTTAAAAATGAAACTGATACTCATTTTTTTAAAAAATATATTTTTATTGATTTTTTACAGAGAGGAAGGGAGAGGGACAGAGAGTTAGAAACATCGATCAGTTGCCTCCTGCACACCCGCTACTGAGGATCTGCCCGCAACCAAGGTACATGCCCCTGACCGGAATTGAACCTGGGACCTTTCAGTCCTCAGGCCGACGGTCTATCCACTGAGCCAAACGGGTTACGGCCTGATATTCATTTTTAAGGATAACATTTTAATGTGTTTGACCAAGTATATAAGTAATATCAAGAGGTTTATAAAATTAATATAAACATGATGTCATTTATAACTTTTAATTTTGAATTAACTTTAGAATCAAAACTGCAATTTTCTTTCCTTTTTTGTTTTTAAAACCATAGTATTATATGTTTTAGAATTTCAAATAAGTGGAATCACAAAACGTACTCTATTACATATGTCCCTTTCCTCCCCGCCCATTAAACCCCTTCAGCTTGCCCCCAACCCCATCCCAGGCTTTTATCACCTAGTTATCTGTCTTTGGGTTATAAATATATAAATACAAGGTCTTTGGTTGATTTTCTCCCACCCACTCGCCTTCCCTCTGAGATTCTGCACTCTGTTCTCTGCTTCCATGTCTCTGGATCCAATCTGTTCATCAGTTTATTTTGTTACTTAGATTCCACATATGAGTGAGATCATGTGATACTTTCTCTAACTGACTGATTTCACTTAGCATGATAATCTCCAGGTCCCTCAATGCTGTCTCAAAGGGTAAGAGATTGTTCTTTTTTATTGCTGCATAGTATTCCACAGTGTAAATGTACCACAGATTTTTTATCCACTCATCCTCCCATGGGCATTTGGGCAGTTTCTATATCTTAGCTATTGTAAATTGTGCTGCTATGAACATAGGGGTACATACAGTCTTTCTGATTGATGTTTCAGGTTTCTTAGGATATATTCCTAGAAGTGGGATCACTGGATCAAATAGCAGTTCCATACTTAATTTTTTGAAGAAACTACATACTATTTTCCATAATGTCTGCACCAGTCTGCATTCCCACCAGCAGTGTACTAGGCTTCCGTTTTCACATCCTCACCAGCACCTGTCATTTGTTGATTTGTTGATGGTAGCCATTCTGGCAGGTATGAGGTGATACTTCATTGTTTTAATTTGCATGTCTCTGATGATCAGTGACTTTGAGCATTTTTTCATATGTCTCTTGGCTGTCTATATGTCCACTTTGGAGAAGCGTCTATTTAGGTCCTTTGTCCATTTTTTAATTGGATTGTTTGTCTTTCTTTTGTTAAGTTGTATGAGTTGCTTATATATTTTGGATATTAACCCTTTATCAGATGGATCATTCCTAAATATGTTTTCCCATACAGTGGGCTCCATTTTCGTTTTGTTGATGTTTTCTTTTGCTGTGCAGAAGGTTTTTATTTTGATGTAGTCCCATTTGAATAACTGCTATATTCTAGAGATTGTCTAAATTCCCTTGATGTATCTATTCCCAAAGGTAAAACCTTACATAGTCACAGTTCATTGTCAAGTAAAGTGAAAATGTTACAGTGCTGTTAACTACAGGATTTATTTGTATCTCCACTTTTAACCTGCACTCATCTCTGTTTGTTTTTATATATAGTTTTTTTGTTTTGTTACAAATTTTATTATTTTTGTTGTTGTTAATTCTCACTTGAGGATATTTTTCCATTGATTTTTAGGGAGTGGAAGGCAGAGATAGAGACAGAAAGAGAGAAACATAGATTTTAGAGAGACATGCATGTGTTCACCTAGGGCCGGGGATCGAACCTGGAACGAGGGTACATTCCCTTGACTGGAATTGAACCCAAGACCCTTAATTCCAGGGGCTGATGCTCTATCCAGTGAGCCAAACTGGTTAGGGGTATATATAGTTTTGAGAAACTTTATCACCTATGTACATTCTTGTAACCAATACCACAGTAGAAATTCAGAATTTTTGTTGTCACAAACCCCACCATCACATCTTTTCACAACCCTAACTTCTGGAATCACAGCTCTCTTTGTATCAATACATTTGTCATTTATAGACTGTTAGAAAAATGGAGACATTCAGCAGTACACTTTTGAGATTGGCTATTTGACCTTGTCTGATATAGAAAATGCATATATACGTATGTGTTCCTGGCATGGAGCTCCTGAAACCCTTGTAGATCACAAGTGATAATAGTCTAGGAGCATCTTTTGTTTTATTGAGGCTACCCTGGTTGGAAATTTCATCTCCACCCCACGCATCCATAGAAGGGTGAGTGTCTGGAAATGGAGTTAATGATCAATCATGCCTACTTAAGAAAGCCCCCATGAAAATCCCAATAGGAGGGGTTTGGAAAACTTCAGGTGGGTGAAGACATCAAAGTATGAAGTGGGTGATGCACCATAACTTCATGGGGACAGAAGCTCCTGTGTTTGAGAGCCTTCCAGGCCTCAAACTGTGTATCTCTTCATGTGGTTGTTCATCTGTAACTTAAATTATTCTTTTTTTAAAAGTGTATTTTTATTGACTTCAGAGAGGAAGGGAGTGTGAGAGAAGAGAGAGAAACATCAATGATGAGAGAGAGTCATTGATGGGCTGCTTCCTGCACGCCCCACACTGTGGATCAAGCCCGAAACCCAGGCATGTGCCCTGACGGGGAATCGAACCCGGAACCTTTCAGTCCGCAGGCCAACACTCTATCACTGGGCCAAAACGGCCAGGGCTTAAAGATATTCTTTAGCCTAACCGGTTTGGCTCAGTGGGTAGAACGTCAGCCTGAGGACTGAGGGTCCCAGGTTCGATTCTGGTCAAGGGTATGTACCTTGGTTGTGGGCACATCCCCAGTAGGGGTTGTGTAGGAGGCAGCTGATCCATGTTTCTCTCTCTATCACTCTCCCTTCCTCTCTGTAAAAATAAATAAAAAAATAAAATAAAATCGATCAGGGGAAGGTGATGCCCCCACCACACCTCTGCTGCTGCCACTGCTGGCAGCGCCAGCCTCGGCCGGCCCTGGTTACCTCAGCCTCGGGAGACACTGGTCGGCTGGGCAGCCACCATCTGAGGCTTGCCTGTGCCTTGGGCCAGCCCTGTGTGTCTGGGCAGCTGACATCCAAGGCTTGCCTGTGCCTTAGGCAGGCCCTGGGTGGCTGGTAGGCTGAGGGACTGAGGGACTCCGGAGGCAGGCGGGCCTGGCCTTGCCACATACCTGCCCCATCTTGTGGCTGTGGGTGTCGCCATCTTTTGAGGGTGTGACAGTCAATTAGCATATTCCCTCCTTATTGGCCGTGGGCACTGCCATATTTGTGATGGTGTGATGATCAATTAGCATATTCCCACTTTATTAGATAGGATTTGCAAAAATAAAATGTTTGTTAAAAATAGGTCTAATTTGTGTCAATTATAGTATAAGGAGAGCCCCATGCTTGAGTGCATAAAATTCATGCACAGGTAGGGTCCCTAGTGGCTGCTGGCCACTGGCCAGGGCCTACCTTCTCCCGTTGCCAGCCATTGTTTGGGGCCTCCCTGGTGGTCAGCGCACATTATAGCAAGCGATCGAGCTTCCACCTGAGGGGACAATGTGTATATTAGCCTTATATTATATGGGATGAAACAGGTTTGATCTAATCTTATTTTAATTTCTCATAAATATGTTTCCATATTATAAATTTTTTACGGATGCCTTCTGGCATATGTAATTAATATTAAGTTGCTATAATAGCATCTTGGATACTAGAAAGATGATAACTAGAGTAACATAAAAGTTATGCTTGCCCTAACCAGTTTGGGTCAGTGGATAGAGCATTGGCCTGCGGACTCAAGGGTCCCGGGTTCGATTCCGGTCAAGGGCATGTACCTTGGATGTGGGCACATCCCCAGTGGGGAGTGTGCAGGAGGCAGCTAATCAATGTTTCTTTCTCATTGATGTTTCTAACTCTCTATCCCTCTCCCTTCCTCTCTGTAAAAAATCAATAAAATATATTAAAAAAAGAAAAAAAAAGTTATGCTTAAACCCTGGCCGCTTTGGCTCATTGTACAGTGAGTAGGCCCACTGACTGAAGAATCCCCCAGGTTTGATTTCAGTCAAGGGCAAATGCCCAGGTGGTGGGCGTGCAGGAGGCAGCTGATCAATGATTCTTTCTTATCATTGATGTTTCTATCTCTCTCTCCCTCTCCCTTCCTCTCTGAAATAAATAAAAATTAATTTTTTAAAAAAGTTATGTATTCACATAATCATGAAATATGTTTTGGTTCTTAAAAATCACCTCCTGCAAAAAATTTCCCACCACAAGCTTCCCCGTTGGTTTGCATTTATGGGATAATTGTATATACCAGACCTTTTCTCTTTACAGGATTTTATTCTCTGTTGTTTTTAAAGAATGTTAGAAACGTTTTAAAATGTTTGAGCTAACTTTCCTTGAAACTTAAAGTATGATATTAAAAACACATTCCCCAGTGCCCTGAAGCGTGTGTCCCTCATAGATAAGGATTTGAACTTCAGTAAACAACTCAGAGCAACTTGTAAAGACAAACACTTGTGTCAATGCCATACTCTCCTTGGCCCCCTCGACTAGTTGGAGATGAACATCTGTGCAATGACATCAATCATTGATAGCCACCTGAGCTGCTGCAGGTACGAACAAGCTATTTTTAAAAATATATTTTTAACGTTTTTTTACAGAGAGGAAGGGAGAGGGATAGAGCGTTAGAAACATCCATGAGAGAGAAACATCGATCAGCTGCCTCCTGCACACTCTCTACTGGGGATGTGCCTGCAACCCAGGTACAAGCCCTTGACCAGAATCGATCCCGGGGCCCTTCATTCCGCAGGCCCACTCTCTTTCCACTGAGCCAAACCGGTTAGGGCTTTGCCTTATTTTTATTATGAATAAACATCA